AAGCCCTTGGCTTTGGCAGTAACAAGAGATCTCAGTCTGGGCACAACAGGTCACAGTTTTCTCTCCAAAAGGTCCCTCCCTCACAGGCCCAGCTCCTCAGCCTCAAAGGGTTAAGGTGCCAGCAACCCCAATTCCCCTAAAAATCCAAATATAACAGGCATTTGGTAGTTACACACTGAGGGGGTTTCAGTTCTTTAACCAACTGAATTGGAAGGACACACATTTTATTGCCATGGGGTAAATATATTTATGACAGCATCATGACTTCATTAATGCAGCTTTCCTTTAGTATCACTAAAAAAAAATATAACCACAGAAAACTAACTATAAGGGGGGAAAAACAGGCACTTTAGCCTTGCTTGAGCTATACTTTAAGCTAAAATGCACAAGTAAAATGCAGACAACTGCAGAGAAGCAACTGGTGGTTTGTGCCTGTAGGAGAGGTGAGCATGTACATGTAAGCATTAATATTTAGGCTTACAGAATTTGTCCCTGGTGGTTTGTGGATATAAATCCAAGCCCTTGGCTGTGGAGGAGTGGAAGCACACCAGGTATGCTGGGGGCCCACAGGTGAATGAAGCCATAATTTGAATAGGATCATAGCCACAACCAGCTCATCCCACATGGAAATGTGGACAGGAGCCCATCACATTCCTGCCCAGGAACCCCCAAAATTGCTTTAAACTCCTGCTTCAGACACAGGAACGTAATGCAGAGTTATTTTTTTTTTTCTTAAATAATTGGCAAGCCACCTGCAGCACCTCTGTCCTAGCCCTCTATTTCTCCTCAGCTTGGTTTATTGACTGCATTGACAGCTCTCTTCCCCAAAATCCACCCCTTCCACCATGCAGTGCTTTCCTCAGTAGTTGTGGAGCTGATAGCTTATTAAAATTGATGAGGCTCTTGATGAGCACACCAGTTTGTTCAGCTCAGATAACAAAAGGACATTCTGCTCATCTTGAAGTGTCATTATTTCTTTTCCCCCATGCTGGATTTCAGTACAGCACCACAACTACACTGAAATAACTATTTTAGACCATTTTGCTAACTACAAAAAAAGGAATTTTTAGAATGGCATAGCTTTAAAAATCCTAAATTATTTATTTTTACTAATTACCCTCAACTTTAAAACTGCCTATAATTTTTAACCTGTATTAGTGCAGTGAGAAACATAAAAGAAAATGGGATTAGTGACACTAAATCCCAAATCCATGCTTGATGTATGGCAAGGTTTAGAGAAGAAAATATAATTTTATTCAGTCCAACCCATTCCCTCTCACTGTAAGCAAACATTACACATTTCCCCCCTCAAACCCTTGCTAAGAAAAATGCCTTAAGACACAAGTAGAGTTTATTTCAGACCCTTGTTTCCACTCATCAGCTGCACAGGCTCATTTCTGGATTAGTTCATCCAGGGAGAACTTCAAGTGTTTGGGCTGAGAGGTACATGGACAAACAGCGTTATCAAATTAAATTCCAACCCCCACCTTAATTTTTTTTTTTTTCAGCACAAACATCTGTCAACACTGGTATCTGCAGAGCCCCAGGATGTGCTGATGCATTAAACAGCACAGCAGGTGGACAGGCAGGCACGGGAGTGTTTGGCCACAACCAGACAGTTAAATACAACCTAAGTGCTCCAGTTAACAGGGCAAGAACAGCAAAACGTATTTGCAGTGCTGATGGCTCGAATTCTAAAGAACCAGGCACCAAACACAGGCAGGGCAAGGAAAAAAAAATTATGTTTCCAAGGTAAGTTCACATTTCAACTCGTCTCTCAACAAACATTTTAAATCAATAAACTAATATTCCAAATTAGCATGTCTTAAAAATCCCTGTGAAACTACTGGGTGCATTCTTTACTTGAGCTGCATATCATACACCTCTGTGTAATTAAAAATAGGAAAACACACGTATTTCAGTTTACACAGGTAATTTTTTTTACCTTCCTGTAGCCACGTTTTTCAGTAGCTGCTTGTAACTTTTGCTGCTTTTGTTTCATTTTCTTTCCAGCCTGCAGTGCATTATTTTTGCACCAGTCCACCTGGACTCTGCCTAAAAAGACTCAGTCCTTGGAGACATCAACACACCCAGAGGCTTGGCAGAGCTCCTTAAGGCCATGAGCTCAGAGGACATTCCTCCTTCCACAGAACTCACACTGGCAGCACAAAACATCCCACAGAGGCAGCGGAAAGTTGATTAAAGAACAGCTTCACAGAAAGGGCAAAGAAATAAGAGAGGCACAGATTATTATTTATTAAAAAATAATATTAAAATTCCCCCCTAAGCGCTCAGAGTGTTTAAACTTCACCCTTCTCACACACCAGGTGTTGATTAAAACACATTTGTTATAACACATAACATTACTGCAAAGCCTCGAGACCAGCGAGTGGACTGTGGGCTGTGATGGGAGATCAGTCACTGAAGAAACACAGGGCTAGGACTCAGTCTCTGGAGGATTTAGGAAGATTTATGTATTTACTTACTATTTCTTTGACTCCAAAGCAGCAGGCTATGCTGATCTAATAATGAAAATGGTATTCAATAGATCATAATGCCAGAAATGTCCATTATGATAATCTCCTGCATAGGACACCGCCATGGATTTCATCCCGAGATTGCAATGCTTGACTGGAGTTAGAACTGAACCTCTAAGTGCTTTTTATCTCTGACATCAAACTCAGGGCTATAAAACCAAAAACCCGACACACACGTGCCAAGTGTGCAATTTATGAGTCCTCCACTAAAATGCTCTTACTAGAAAAGAAGCAAAAGTGACAGCAAAGCAAGTTTTCCTGTTCCTTAAACAGAAATAAATCCAGCTATTTCACCATCAGATCCACTTCAGATTTAAATTAATGTAAAAGACAAGATCATTTGAAAGCACTGCAGAGAATGAAGTGAATGCTACTCATTTACAATTCCTACAGGGAGAAGAAGAAAGAAGTTATTTCAAGCTTTTTTGCATCCATATAAAACCATTTGTGGCCTCAGAACCGCAAGAAAAGCCATTTAGAAGATTCACTGACTTGTGTCAGGTAAAATACCGGTGACAGACTGTCAGAGGAAATCACAGGATGCCTTCATGTGCGGTTTTATTCAATTTCCAGACTTAAAAAATGCATCCAATTATTGACAGAATTGATCTGAAAGGCAGGAACAACAAAAGAGGCAACAGAAGCCAATCCTTCTGTGGCCACTGCCTGCCTGGCTTTGCACTGGAGCAGCGTTATCAGAACTGACCATTTGGTGCTCTGAATATTTATAAGCGTTTCCCTGCACAGCCACCCTTCTTTCCATTGAACACCAGCGTCCATTCATCCCCTGCAATTTTCCCAAAGAGATTTCTCTCAAAAAATAGATTAAAAAAAAAAAAAAAAAGACTCTTCCTCTCCATTTTACCCACAGAACTCACGTGGCAAAAGCACTGAGAACACCAAAAGTGCTTATTTTAGTTCGCAGAACCACAATATTTCACTCGAGCTTCCCTAAATAAGGGAAAAAAAGTCCTCTTTTTGGACCGGGTGACAAACACTCCTAGGATAAATAAAGAATAACAAGTGTTTTGCCAGACAGGACATCCTCATCCCTTTCTAGTCATCCAAGAGCTCGGAGTCAAAAATGCTGATGGTCTGTGTTTGACTTTGAAAGTTACAGCTCTGCCCTGAAACAGCGCCAAGAGAGCATCCCGAAGGGCTCCTCACTTTTATTTCACGAACATTTAGTGACACTGCCAGCGCAGGGAGGGCAGACAGGAGTGCACAGGAGGGGTTTTGTGAGCTCCCTTCATGGCAGGAGGCCTCTTACCTTGGAATTTGAGCCAGGGGACACTCCCTGCACTTATCTACTCGCGATCTGAATCGCGACATTACTGCCAGGGTATGGGATGACCTCGGGAAATCCCTGCATCCCAGGAGAAGGTGAGTCAGCCCTGTTCCCACACTGTTTTGCACTCACCTAAGGGGTGTTTTCCCTCCTTCACTTGTCTCTCACCATGAGATTATCTTCTGAACAGACCAAGCCCTGGGTTTCAGAGTTAAACCATTAAGGTGTTAAGCATGGAATAACCCACCATAAGGATGAGACCAGAGAAAGTCCCGAAGCTGCGGGTGGTACACGAAATAGTTTCCCAAACTCCACGTTTCTCTGAATTTTCCACCGAGAAATGTGGCATCCCTCAGTGTGACAACGCAAAATAAACACAACTGTCACAGCTAAAGCCTCCCAAACCGCTCCTCGGTCCTGCAGCAAGACGCCAACATTCCTCTATCTGCTTATTTGCTTAAGCGCTCAAAACCTTTGCTTTCCAAAGAAATTACAGGGGTAAGCACCTTCACACCGTGTTATTCTCATCACCGAGGCGCCGTCCTGCACACTCGCTTTGGCAAGCAGAGCACAGGCTCGTGTTTAGTGCACAGGACAACACAGCTCTCTGCTGAACCAGAAGCAAGCCCAAGTCACGCACAGTTACAACTTTGGGCTCAGAAACTGAATTTTACCACTGCAAAGAAAAAAAAAAGATTAATGATGTTTTCCCTCTCCGGGCTGTATGTAGGAGCAGCATCTTTAAGGTGAAGCTGCAAGACACTCACTATAAGGTAGGTTTTGTTTAAAAGCGACAGTGGTGTTTTCTGAAGAGCAGCTTCTGGAGCACATTTCACCTCGTGGTTACAGAGAACCACGTTTACACGCCAGTTAAAGAGTAAAAAACGCTCAAAACAGCAGCTGGTGGAAAGTCAGCTGGTGGAAAGTTAGGACAACAGGGCTCGGTTTCCCACAGCTTCTGTGCCTTTTCTAAGCTGGGACATCTCAAGAACAGAGCAGGATCGTTCTTGCCTGGTGAAGCCGCCGTGCCCGCTCTGCGCGCACACAAACCACGACCGAGATGCGATCCAGATGGCAAGAACAGCCAAGGAAACCACCGAGTCCACAGAGAGCAGGGGTTTTACTGTAAAGCTCGCTGGTATGAAGACAACAAATCGTAAAAGCTGGGGTCTTACCATTCGCGTTTTTCCCACAGATGAGATGCTCGTAAGGCTGCAACACTCCCCAGAGTTCGGCGTCGTTGTTGATAACCATCTCCAGCACCTCGGCAGAGATCTCCCCGCCGCCGTCCGGGCTCTGGCTCGCCAGAACCCTACCCTTAATCTCTTCCACCAGGTTCTCCATGCAAGCCGTCAGGGAGATGGCCGCGTACTCGTGGATCCTCACCGAGATCCTCGTGTCCACCATCCACCTGAAAAACCTCCCCACCGAGAGGGTGAGGCCGCACCTGGCGGACTTCCCTTTCCTCAGCCCGTCTCCCGCGCTCATGCTGTACAGGGACAGAGCCTTGACGGTGGCCAGCACGCAGCTTTCCGACAGGGACCAGCTCTGGATGAGCTTGATGGCGCTCTGCACCTCGAACCTGGTGCACTTGGAGTGCATCACGCTGAGCCGCTGAGCCTCCCTGGACACCCTGATCAGGGCGCGCCGCAGCAGCTGCGAGAGCCTCCTGACAGCGTCCTGGGAAAAGCTCCTGCCGTGGCCATCTCCCTTCCCTTTGCGCAGGATCCTGCCGATGTCTTCATCGGCCCACGGGTACTCCTCTAGGTCAGGCAGCTTAGGGCACTTGGAGAAGATATCCGCGACCTCGGGGTCCTCCGGCAGAACGGTGTTCACGGTATCCCAGCTGTTGTTCCTACTGTTCATGGAGCCCGAGTAGTACCACCAGTTGCCTCTGTGCTGAGAAGAGGTGAAGGCTTGCGAGTTGGACTTGGAAGAGGAGAGACTAAGGGACCTGCAGGAATCCCCTGCCCCATAACCAGAGTCCAAAGTCAGATCCTCCAGGGTCTTCAGAGTAGAGCTGTATATCCCAGCCATAGGGAAAGGACGGGCTAAAGCCAAGCCGGCAGCACGGCAGCGCGAAAAGGTGAGGCTGGGGCAGAGCCCTACCGAGAGCGCGAAGGAGCCCTCCCCGAGGGCCCGGCTCGCTCCATCGCGGCGGGAGGGAGGCTGGGATGGGGTTATCCCAGCCCCGGGAAGGCTGCGGAGGCTCCGGCGGGCGGGACGGGAGCGCAACTTGCCCCGGGAGCGGCTCCGCCGCCGCATGCAAATGAGGGCTTGGCCGAACAGCCAATCGGCGGCCGAGATGGAGGCCGGCCGGCCAATCAGGGGAGAGGTGGGCGGGGCGAGGGGAGACCGGGACACCGGGATCGGGACACCCGTGCGGGCCGGGTCACCGCCCCGAGAGGGATCACACGAGGCGGCCACGGAGCTCCCGAGTTCCCCCATGGAGCCTTGGCGGGGTTTCCCGGCCTCGGAGCCCCCGCTCGGCCCCGCGCGGAGCGAGGGCGCCCCCGCCCGGCCGCGGCGGGAACGGCAGCGCGGGGCGCGCCTCTTGCCTCGAGTCCTTTGGGGTTTTTAATTTAATATAAATTACTAAATTCGTTTCGAAACGCGCTTTTCACAGCTTGTGGCGAGGCGCGGCCCGTCCCCCCCCCGCGACCCCAGGAGGTCCTGCCCTTCTACAACCACCCGAGCTCCGGAGGGAACGCACGTCCTTGGAAACGGGCATCCTTGATAACGCTGCGATATAAAACGCTTAAAATTGGATTTTTTTTTTTTATCTGTTGGTTCAAAAGGATTCCGAGTTTTCCCTCTCCGCTCTTGCCGCACACTCGCTGCTTGTAAGACATAAGTGAAAAGGTACTTGTTTGAAGACAAGATTTCTCACGAATTATATTCCCACCCCCCTAAATTACAGAGTGGATCTGTAGAACTTGACGCCAAAATATACAGATCTTACACAGTCCTGTAACTTACCTGCAGGTTTAAAAGAAAAAAACAAAACATTATAGATCTTTTCCATAGTAACATCCCTTACAAGATACAGCTTCCAAGCATTATCGGCTTCAACACCTGGAGAATACCTCCCAGAACCTCCTTTTGTGTTTTTGTACACCACTTAGAGACAGTAAGAAATAGATCACAACTATTAGGTATGAATTAAATACTTGAAAAAAACCATATTTTACTGATGCACTTCTGCTCACAGGATCAACCAGCCCCTGTTTGTACTAAAAAAGAGAGGACTTAACAGGGTGTACTAACTTTCTACTGGCTGACCCTTAAAAATGATTAAAAAAAAAAAAAAGAACAAAACCAAAATATCTTCTTTTATCTTTCTTAGATCAAAGCCCAACTGTAATTCAGCTCTCTGCTTTTTCACAGCTTCTCCCCATGAAAACATGAACATAGAGCAAAAGTCGTCTGATAAAACCAGACCCAGTTCTCTCAAAGTCATTCCAATTTATTTGGAAATCTTAACACCTCAGCACCTCATCTGTGCTCCACAGTCCGCTCAGAAATATATTTTTACTACACAACTAATACCTCGCTCAGGTGTTATTTTACAGATCAAAGCTAACTCTGCTATTTTGTCAGATTTTTTAAGGTTTGAGCTCTACTTTTAAGAGTTTCAAACCCAGTGAAGATACCAGAGCTGACAGTGCACACAGTAAATAGGTTTATAAATATGTGACAATGCATAACTGATTCAAACCACAACTTTAAGTATTATGCATTCAGTCAATACACTAATTTTTGAAAATAATCTTTCCTCTCTTACATCTGTATTTAATCCTATCTATTTGGTGCCACGGGCCACTGCAGGGCTCTTAAGCCTGACTTTTGTGGTGCCCATCCCTCACTCCCCACACCTCTCCATTATATCCTCAAAATAAGGGTTTTTTTGGATCTTGTTTTAACAAAACTACCTGTTAATTCTTTAAAGATGGTACAGAGAAAACTTTTCATTTTGTGTTGCCTCTTTGCAAAAGCCTTCCCTAAAACTCATCCCGTTCCATCTACCCCTTAGGATTCATATAAATCTTAAAAAAAAAAAAAAACCAAGGATAAATTGCCATTGAGAATCACTACATAGTTAGCAACTGACATTATTTGGGAAAAATGCAGCTGTGAAATTACTTAAACCATTTTTGTTCCTCCCCTTTATCACACTTCTCTCACGCTCCCACACAGTTTGTTATTCCTTCCCTTTCCCTGCAATTTAACAACACAAAAATCACCTGGCTTTAGCAGTAATGCTTTCCCCCTTCTTCAGACAGCATTTTCTCATTGTTGGGAGTTATAATTTCACGTGTATTTCCTTACACAAACCCACTTTGTTGATAAACCCTTCTCTCCCTGTAAGGCACAGGCGAGGCCAGAGTTTTCCTCAGGCAAACAAACCGTGGAACAGAAGCCCCCAAACATGGAAAAGTTTGTCCTCACTGAAGATTTAAACCTCAAGCTCTAAGATATTGAACACAGTGAAGAACCCAGGTCATGCATCTATGAAAACAACTTATCATTCTGTGATTTACAAGGCACAATAAGAATTTGGCTTTTTTTGCATGTTTCATTAGCAATTACAAGTTATTTTCATATAATAAAAGTCAACTTTCTACAGGCAGAGTTTCTCACGGTCACTTCTCTCTAGAACTGAAGTCTTAAGGAAGTAGAGGGTATCACAAGTCTTTCAGGAACATGAAGAAAACAAATAAAACACACAACAGTGAAAGTTCCACTATAAATAAAAACCTGGCACTCAAGAAGCCCCACTTCCCTTCACCTAAAGAGTTTGGATGTGAATTATTCTAGCTCTGATGAACTACAGAGTTTTAAAATTTGACTTCAAAGTACACCAGAATTCATCAGAATTTAAAAGCCACAGCATTCTCTGATACACAAATAGCAACCGAATGAATAGCCAACTTATTTAAAAATAACAAATTTGTTTTAAAGAAACACAACAGTCAAAGCCAATGCAAAATCCCTATAAAGTTAATCTGTACAAAGACTCCAAACCAATACTTCTTGAAGTAACCCATGAATCTCTTACTTGTTCAAACAAAGTTCAGAGAGCTTCTAGAAAATAACATTCACACATAGACTATTGAGAATAATTTCTGCATCCCATAGAAACTTATTTTGGTCACATGAAGCAAAGAAGACTCAAGAATTTCCAGCAAGACAAAAAAAATAAAAATATATTAATAACAAAACTGTCCTTACCAGAGCCCTCAAAAAAAGCTGCTGAAGTGGAACAACCGAGCCTTAGAGCAGTACCTGGAGCACACCTGGCAGAGGAGCCCTTTTCAAGCCTCATTCCCTGCAGCTGTGGGAGGGGGTGCTGATGAGCCCAGCAGCTGGGACCTGCCACGCCAGGGGTATTTTGGGAAATTTCCTTCTCAAGCTGCTGTCTCTGCCTTGAGCAAGTGCTAATGGCATTTTCCTTGTATAGCTACCTAATTTACTGCATTTTATCTGCACCACTCAGAGCTGACTTTGTTAATAAACTGGAGCTCTGTTAACAGCTGGTGCCCATCACCTGAAAATCAGGGTGAGCCCACACCCCAGAAGATGTGGGGGAAGCAGAGGTGAAGCAGGTGAATCACATATCAGGCCTAAATGAAATGGAAAGAAAAAATTAATTTCCTGCAGTTAGGAGAACACATTTGGCATATTTTCAAAGCAACACTGATGGAGAGAGAACAAAAATCTGATTTTCTGTACAGCAAAGGCAGTCAGTTTATTGTCTAACTGTATTTGATGGTCAGCTGAAAAAGTGATCAAACACTCACTGCTGACCTCACAACTGGCAAAGAAAAAAGAGGAACCAGCTGTATCTTCCAAACTGAAGGGGAGCTTTATTCAACGTGTAATAACTCAGATTCTTCTTCCCTTATTCCTTTTGTGCAGAAGGGGCTTTGCAAAGGTTACAATACTTACATTTCAGAATGTGCTAATTGGTAATTCAGGTAAATGTGCCTGATAGCACCGATTAAAATAACTGAGAAAGAGAACACAGAATGTCATGAATGTAGAATTTCAGGTATAATACTACCCCTGGTGTAAACTTTTCAGGTGAGGTAGAACTCACTGAAGTCTTGTGCAGAGAGTACACCAAAGAAATATTCAGGATTATTAGGAATAAGTGGCTATTCTACCTTCTCGCTGCCTTGGTTTTATCTGTGTGATTTAGCACAGCCTAAATCTACATTTTGCTATTAACAGTTCCACAGAAACACTCCTGCATAACAAATACTGCCTCCATTTTTTTTTTCCTACTCAGCTAATTAGTCTGATAAAAGGCATTACTTGTCCTTACATAACTTGCCTCGCTGAGATCCTTAGGCTGTCAATTAAAACATCATTTCTATTTAAAAAAGATCAGCCAGGTAAATTTGCTTAGCATAAGAAATCAGCCCAGATTAGCTTTACTGTTATTTGTAATGACAGGTAAGGCAGAGCTTCTCAAAATTAATCCTGTCAGGAAATGAGGGGTCATGTCTATCATGGCTAACAGTGACTGCTCAGCAAAGACCTTTTAAAAAACATTAATTGCTGAAGATTTTATGTAACAACCTGCTCCTGACACACATTTTCAAGAATGGAAAGCATAAGAGCCACTGAGAATCTATTAAAAACATGCTTTCTACTTTCAAAAGCTGCCTTTTGTAGTAGATATAATTAAAGAGATAAGTAAGGTGGAGTGAATTCTCCTCCGGGGAGGAGTAACCACCTGCATCACTGCATGCTGGGGGCTCACCAGCTGGAAACAGCTTTGGATTAACATATCTGGTGGTCCTGTTGGAAAACAAGTCGGATGTGAGCTGGCAGTACATCCTTGTGGTTAATTTAGTTTTTGATATCTCTTAATTCAGCATACATTTCACAGGTGAAGCATCTTTAACTCAAACACTAAGAATGAAAGTGGCATTGAAGGTGCTTCCTACACTTGTTAGATGCAGGGAATAGCCTCCTTCCTCAGCCACAGTTCCACTTGTAATGTGTTTATTCTGTTTGTTTTGAAAACATTTTGAAGTAGAGAAGGCAAACTAACCCTGGAAATAACCAGTGACATTTCACCTAATTTAAAATGCAATCCTCAACAAACATTGGACATTTCTGCCCAGAAATTTGGAGTGGATGAAGGCACTGAGGCCTCTTTTCTCACCTTCTCATTCTTCTCATTTCAG